TAGCACTCTCCTCCTTCCAGGTCTTTGCTTGGGCTGGACCCTCACTCAGAGCACCACTCTTCCCTCCACTGGCTCAGTCTTTTGCCTCGCTCCACTACCTCCAGGACTGGCCTGCACTAAAGTGCCCCCAAGAACCCTATTCTGATTTCTGTCCTCTTTCCTTGCCCCTCTCCCCCAGTCTATGACTCAATTGCCTGGTACTATCAGGTACTATCAGGAACTGGAGACCTGCAACTGCATAGCCAAAGAAAGGTACTGGTTTTAGGCAAACCCAAGTTCAGTTCCCACCTGTGTGATCTTGGTGACCTTGGGCAAGTAGTCTCCTTTCTTTTTCCCCCGTTAGTAGAATGGAGTAAATACAACAACCCTCCCATGACCTCATGAGAGTGAACTAAAACAATACACTGAGGTCATCGTTCTTATTACATTCACTTGTCTCTTTATTTGCATATTCCAAACAGAACTCAAGCTTCCTGGATGCCTTAGCCATCCATAGTGGCCACTATACCCTGTGTTCTCAATAGACACTTCTCCCTCGTTGACCTGGTTGCCTGGAATTGGGGACAGTAAAAGATGATGGTTAATGACCCTGGACTGTGAACAGACTTGGCTTTGAAAGTCACCTCCATTGTTTCCTGGCTTAGTGGCTTTGAACAGGCCACTTCAACTCTCAGACCCTCAGTTTCCTCCTCTGTATCCTGAGCCCATTAATAGCACCTCCCAAGACAGATGCTATAAAGTTTCAGGAGACGACACATGTCAACACAACACCAGGCACAGAGTCAGTGCCCAGTGCCCCAGCGTGGGCAGAACGTCCATGGTTTTACAGGGCATCACCAGCCATTCTCTGTCCTGTTTCTACCTACTGACCTCTTGTTTTTCTGGTTGTAACAGCAGTGAAAAGCAGCTCAGCCCAGGACCCTGTCTTCTCTTCTCCCGATCCCTCTACCCCATTTCTGCTCTGGGGTGGGAAACAGAGGGTCCAAGCCAGGGTCAAACAGCTAGCCAGTGGCTCCTTTTCCTGCTCTGTGTCTCAGATACCTGAAGTAGTACATGGGCAGCAGGACCAAGATGTGTCTCAGAGCCTGGCCAACAGGTAAGCCAGCAGATAATTAGTAAGTAACAGCCCCATGCCAGAACTCGCTAGCCTAGCCAATCCATGAGAAGCAGTAAACCAGCAAAACAGAAGTGAAAGTCAGTGAGAGAGAAATTGTTTCTGGCTGGGACCTAGCTTCTTCTCACTTCTACCTGGGTTTTGACAGCTTTAGTGTGTGGCAGCCTTCAGAAACACTCCGAACCTGTCATGGATTGAATTTTGTCCCCCCAAAATACGTGTCAACTTGACTAGGACGTGATTCTCAGTATTCTGTAATTATCCTCCATTTTGTGATCTGATGTATTCATCCTATGTGTTGTAAATCCTAACCTCTAGGATACTAATAAGGCAGGATTAGAGGCAGATACGTTAATGAGGCAGGATACAATCTACAGGTTGCGTCAACCTCTTCTGAGATATGAAAGAGATCAAACAAGCAAGCAGAGATCAGAGGGACCAGACCACCACCAAAAAGACAAACAGAGCACAGTGAGTCCTTTGGATCGGGGGTTCCTGCAGTGAGAACCTCCTGTTGTTGTTGTTGTTATGTGCCGTCGAGTCAGCCCTGACTCATAGCGACCCCTTCTTGGGTTTCCGAGGCAGTTATCACTACAGAAGTAGGATTGCCCAACCTTCCTTCCGAGGAGTGGCTGGTGAGTTTGAACTGCCAGCCTTCTGGTTAGCAGTCAAGTGCTTTAACCACTATGCTACCAGAGCTCCTGAGACCTGGGGAAAGATTGGTGCTAAGATATGTGGAGATCGCCAAGAGAGAGACCTCAAATGTTGACAGGAGACAAGGACCTTCTCCCAGAGCCAACAGAGAGACAAAGCCTTCCCCTAGGGCTGGCTGCCTGAATCTGGACTTCTAGTCTCCCAAATTATGAGGATAAATTTGTTAAAGCCACCACTTGTGGTATTTGTTATAGCAGCACTAGAGAACTAAGACATCCTCCTTGCCTGCCTTCCTCTCCTGGGGAGTGCTGAGGGCTCAAGGCTCAAAGGGAAGTGACTAGAGGATGTTGGGGTTCAGGCCAAGAACAGTGGGGTGGAGGTGATGACACCACCGGAACCTCTGCTGATGCATCTACCCACAGGACGTGGCTTAGGAGAGGCCTCGTAGGAAACAGGCAGTGGGCCCTTGGTCTGAAAGTCTGAGGATGGTAGCCACACAGACTTATGACAGACCTCCCATTGCCACACCTTCCCTACCTCTCGTCCTACCTCCAAGCCACCTTGTGTATGTCACGGCTCTGCCCTGGCTCCACCTCCAGTCCAGATAGACTGGGCCCTGACATGAGTAAGAGCATGGGCTTTATGCCATACAGACCGGGTTCAAATACCAGCTTGGCCACCTCCCAGCTGTTTGACCCTGACCAGTGATGTCACTTCTGAGTCCCCGTGTGTACAGTGGAGTTGAAAATAGCACCCACCTCATGGGGTTGAATGAGAATTGAGATCATTCGCATATAGTGCTAAGTGTAGGACTTGGCTCATTTATTTTCCCTCAAGAAATGGTAATTACTATTCTTATTGTCTTTGCTCTCCTTGCCCTCCCCTATGCCCAATTTAGTCAATGGGCTCCCTGCTTCCAATAGTTTACCCATGAAACTAGCCCATCACTCCCTGACACATCACTCAATTGCCTAAAACCCTCACAGGCTCCACACTACCCTCAGGAGAGGACCCCACAAGCACTCCTTGGACTATCCAGCCCTGGCAAAGCCTTGCCCCAGAACAGGGCTTTTTGGGACAGCAGGATCAGCAAACCCACTCTTGCCTGCCACAGGAGGCTTCAAGTCCAGGCAGTATGAGAGCTGGGGAGCAACCCCAAGGGTTTTCCTGGGGTGGTGGGGGATGGGTCATAGTAGGACAGCCCTGAAAGCAGGAAAGCTTAAGGAGTCAGGAAACAGGGTAGGGAGATTCCTGTGGCCACAACCTGGGTGGATGAGGTGGAAAGAACCTCAGCTGTCACAAAGCAGTGGAGGATTTGAAGAAGACGGGGAGTACACGCAGACCCCACTTTAGAATAATCTGGGGGATGCTGTGAAGAGGACAGATGGAGAGACCAGACTGGGGTGGTCAGGACTCAAGGATTCATCTGCAGAGGGCTGCAGAGGAGGGGGCAGACGGAAGGGGTGTGGAGGACATAGCTTTCCTAGGGCTAGTCCTTGGGTACAGCTGGAGGAAGAAACAGAGGCTGGGCTTTGAACCGGTTCATTCTGGCTGGACTGCCTGCTAAGAATTACCTGGGGATCTTGTTAAAATGTAGATGGGGTTCAGTATATCTGGAGTGGAAATGCAAATTCTCAACAAGGGATCAAACCGGAATGAACGGATTCGAAGTACTACTAGGAAGATATGAAGAAGATGCCGGGGAAGGCATAAGTGGATGGGGATAGGAAAGGCATAGGGACAGGAGGGAAATAGTAGGTGAATGGCGGGCTTAGTGCATGGCACAAAGATAGCACACCTCAGACAGCACCACTGCTACCCTCCTGAACAGGCTGTAAAGAGTCACAAGAATCCTCTGCAGATTCAGAGACCAAATTCAAGTCCCAGCTTTGCCATTGTGTGACCTTGGGCAAATGATGATCTCACCTCTCTGAGCCTCAGCATCCTGCTCTGTAAAATGGATTAGTGATCCTGACTATGAAGGCTGTTGCCAAGATTCAGCGGGAGCGCCCAGCACTTCTGGAACACACAGGAGTGCTCATTAAATGTTAAACTATTTTTATGGGCCCAACCAGCTCTGGCGCAGCACTGACAGGGTGGGGGGGCTATGAGTCTTATCCCTGCCTCCCAGAGAGTCAGGGGTTCAGGGCCCCAGCGCTGCTGGCTCGCCGCCTCCAGTGTCGCCGCGCCCCCTGGTGGTCGCCGGTTGCCATGTCAACGACGGGTGGAGGGGGTCGGAGGGAGGCGGCGGCGGGGGCCGTTCTCTCCTCCCTAGGCCTCAGGCCGCTCCCTTGGCGCCTCCCGCTCTCGCTTCTTGGGGGGTAACTCCAAGCAGTGGAGGAAGGGGCTCTCCGCGGCAACAGGCCGGGGGTGGTAAACTGAGGCACTCTGCTAGGTGCCCCGCAGCCAGGTGTCGGGCGCGGAGCCCCACCTCCGAAAGCGGAGGAGGGGCTGCGGGCGGTG